ATTTGTGCGTAAGACACTGTGCCTGTACAGACGCTGTATTGATCTACAGTAAAAGAGCTAACAATGTAGACCCTTAAATTATAACGAGGAATCTGAGATTATAGTTAAAGTCTCAGGTACTCAGATGACTGGAACAGTTCGTATTCTCACACCTTTATTCACATTTGATATTTTTTTCAAAGAAGAGTCTAAAAATTTTTTTGTTTTAAGCTAAGATCTTTGAAAAAACAAGACGAGTATAAGGTTGCCAACTCATTTCAATTCAAGCATTGATTCAAACTGAATCAATGCTCTGGGGAGTGTATGCTTTTCAAATTTAAGAATTAACCATCCTGAAAGGGCTACATTTCTCTATTAATTCACACCTAAATTGAAGGGACAACATAACATAGGAAAAAAGAACTCAGGTATCTAAACTGTGTGTAATTACAGGAGACATCTTATGTTACGGAGGTGGAGAGAAGTTTGTACAAACAAATCTATCTTCCTGCTATTTAATAGCACTTTCTATGTCCCAACTTTCACCATTTTATCTGTCTGATCATTCATTATGAATGTTGCTTGAATGGAACACTGTGAAGCCCTGATCATGCAACTGGATCCATGCAAGGTAAACGCTTGAGCCTGCATAATTCAAATGCGAAATATTCTCCTAGTAGCATTGCATAGATAATGGCTTAATATATTATGGACTAATAAATTCTTATCCCTTCAGATGCTATATACTATTATCTGTAGTGTACCCATTCTGCTCTCAGCTACATCAGTGTAAATCCAAAATAACTCCATAGAAGTCAAGGAGATTTTTCTGGATTCATATCAAAGCCTTGCTTGATGAAAGAGTGGAGTAGGTACCTTGCAGGGTCTATGGAACCTTTTTCTCTTGAAAATGTTAAGAGGAGTCCAGTCAAAACATCAACTGGAGATAATCTAGGTATAGCTGATTCTGCCTCAGGGCAGATTGGATTAGATAATTTTGAAGTTTGCTGCCCTACTCTTTATGATTCTTGTATACATTAAATATCCAGAATAAAAGTATCCACCCAGGTAGTTAAGCCAGTATAACAACAGTGTTATATTGATATGCTGATAAATTGTCCCTTGTATATAAGCACTAAGTACCTCAACGTTCTAAGGCATTTACTTGAATTGTTTCTGTTCTCAACATATACAACACATGAACTGAGTCTGTCTTATCAGGCTTGTCAGGGAGAATATTTCACAAGCTACACCCCCCAATTGTCTCAAGAAACAACCTTGCCCTCCCTTCTTTTACATACTCTAGGCTTGGATTCCCAGCAAAATGATTTGGGGGAATCATCAGCAGCGCATTTGGAGATAATCTAACTACTGAATCTACTTATATCTGGCACTGTAGAAGCTGCATGATTAAGTATTCCAAAGCAGGAATAGCAGCAATTGTCTTTCTCCAATGTGGAATAGTCTCAATTGTCTTTCTCCAGTGTTTCTTTCTCAGCTCCTACAAAAAGCTGTGCAAGTACAAACCCAAAGACCTTTATCTGGAGAATTAACAAGCATCCCCTTGTTTAGGCTGATTTCATTCGAAGAGTGAAGAACTTGGGTCAACCCCTGGAGAACAATCACCCATTTCTGTGCCAGCAGGGAATGTTCCTGCTTACTGGTGGTGTTGGTGGTGGGGTACAATATTAAAAACTGAGAAGGGCCCCATGCCAACCCCCTGATGCATGCTTGTGATCAGTCCGGGTTTTTGGATGTAGCTATGTCGGTCTAAGGACATAGGAAGGCAAGGTTCTTTGGATAAATGTGGTATTTTTTATTAGACCGAGTAGCTGGGAAAAAGAGTTCTTGGCAAGCTTTCAGGCGCAGTCACCCTTCTTCAAAGCTTCGGGAGCCTCTGCTGTTCTGAGACTCCAAGAAATGAAACCATTCCTTGGAGTCTCGGAACAGCAGAGGCTCCCTATGCCTGGAAAAGTGACTGCGCCCAGAACCTTGCCAAGAACTTTTTTTCCAGCTACTCAGTTGGTCTAATAAAAGATATCACATCTACCCAAAGAACCTTGCCTGCTTGCGATCACTCTACCAACTTAAAGAAAAGCAGATCAGTGCAGGGAGACTTTCCCCCAGCTGTCTGTTGAACGGGGCAGAGTTACCCCCCAAATCCTCAAGGGCCAGTGTGGCAGAGTCGGTATCTTTTATTAGACAGCTACAACCTTTATCCCATTTCTCAAGGGCAGGATTTATGCCCTTTTTAGCCTATGTGAAGCACCTGGACTTTGACACTTCAGATGTGGCTAGCAGATGGGCATGGAGAGCCAAAACCACTCCTCTAGGAGGAAAAAAAACCCAAGCCCACAAGCAGTCGCGCCCCGGCAGAGCCCAAGCCACGGAAGGACAGCCTACGAGGTTCAGAACGCACACTGCTATCCGACTGGAGCCAAGGAGACGAAATCACGCCCCCCTCCCCCGCACCTGCGTATTGTGCTACGCTGGGAACAATTTCACTCCACCGGGAGGGCACAGGGGCACATTAAGGCCCGCGCAGTGCTAGAAGAGGAGCGTTTTCACTCCCCTCGGAGTGGAGGAAAAAAAAAAAGACACCGCGCTTGCGCAATGCTCATGGGTGGATACTTCTCACTTCAGCCCGCCTCAGGCGCTGGGGTGGTGTAGTCCGTCTGTTAGGTCTCTGCCCACTGCTGGCGGGGAGGGTGTGGCGTGGCTGTGCGCCTGCTCGTTGGCGCGGTTGGTTGGGGAGATGCTG